TTAGAATCAGTGGTTTGACTTGGACACCTGTGTGACAGAGCGCTTGCCCTGCACTGGCCCCTTTAAGACCAAGACTCAGGCCCTGAGCCAGGGCGGGAATAGAGGGACCAGCTGAAGCTGTTGGGCTAATGAGAGCCCAGCTGTCAGCTACACAGAAAAGCCCGGTTGGCTTGGAAAAGCCCAGCTGAAGCCATTAGGGCGAGTGAGAGCCCAGCTGCCAGCTATAAATAGGGAAGCACAGTTTGCTTAGGGAGGGCCAGTGGAGAGCTGACTGCAGAGGAAGCAGGAGCTTCTTGGAGGGAGACAAGCTGGGGACAGCCAGCAACAGCTGGAAGAGGGTCAGCCAAGACTCCCCCTGGCTAGGGGCTGGAGACAAAGCCCCTGGTTTGCGGGCGGATCATGAGGCTGACTAAGTAAGTAGAGCAGTTGAGACAAAATGCCAATGATGAGCAACCCATACAGACTGTAACTTGCCCTGAGACGGGCTAGATGAGGACAGTCAGGGGGCACTGATGCATGGTAGGGGGCTTGCACCCTGACAACCTGATACTTGGCGTGCCATGCCAAAGAAGAGCTGGCAAATGTAAGCACTACAACTCGGCCTCCAGGTCATGGGGTGATTAAATTTTAAATTGTCTCTTTGTTAATGGAAGATTTCCTGCCCTTTGTTTCCTCAAGTAAGTTTAAAACTAAAAAGGGACACAATCTGCTCCCAGGCATAGGCACAGAACGTCTATTGAGAGAGTTAAACACACTCATATGACAGCAGAATTTGGCCCCAAAGTATTTGTATGATGGAAGTTACAACCTGAAAAATTCCCCAGATAGATTTTATCAAAAGGAATTAATCGGGTCTTTTGTTCTTCATTGCCTTTGCATAGTTTGCTATCATTCTTTAGATGACAGTTTGTGTTATTGCCTTTATTCTGCCTTGTTAGCTGTGGCAAGATAGTTTTTCTCCAGTTTGAAGCCTAATTAAGGAAGCTACCAACTTCATTTCAAAGCAATTAACCTTCTTTTGTGGCATATAGTGTAACAAACACAAGAGCAAAACATTTCAGCTATATGACATTTTCAAAAATGGGCTATAATTAAGGACTGAACCTGGAATCTTTGCTCATCTGGGTAGTCTTGTTAGCATCAGTTGGAGCCTGTATATGAGCAAGGACTGCACATGGCGTATGGTATGGGTTGTAGGCTCAAGCTAATGGATTGAAGCTCTATGGGGAAGAAACCTTGTTTTATGCTCCAGGCATGTCTGTAAAGTGCCTAGCACACTACACATACTGTTAATTTTTAAATATACATGTTCTACTATACATGAGCTAATCAGTTTGCTAAAATAAGTGACTCAAAGATTTATCCAAACATACCCTAAAGGTTTCCTAAAGATAAAAATGATTATTTTTGTTTAATAATCATAGTCCAAATTTCAGGAACAGAAGTACTGAACAAAAACTGTTCCCTAGGCAAGGAAAATGCACAAACCTCTTTGTTGTCTTATCTGGTTAACGGGTAGAATGAACCCAGATAAGGAATGTTAGCTGCTGAGTGAGTATGTCTCAAAAGCAGCTGTGAGAGTCACTTGTATTTACTGCTACCCAGAAAGGGAGACCTTGGGGAGGGAAGTCAGGTGGACATCAACTGAAAGAATTGGAAAAAAAATGCTGAAATATTTTTTTTAAAAGCCAAATCTGCTTTATACATGTCTTTGAGTTTATGCCTGTTATAGAACATGACAAGTTAGCTGTGGCAGGATGCCAGAGTTTAGGATGATACTGCAGTCAGAAGCAGAATGATTCTGCTGACTCATGGTGGTTTATGCTTGAAGCCAGATCCGGTAGGGATCACTAGCTCCAATCTAGGCTGTAAAGGGTTTATGTATCCCTTAGAAGAGGGGCAGAAAGAGCTGCCATCTGAGGTCAGGAAGGAGAAATAATCTTGGGTTGAGACTGAAGTTTCTTAGATCATTTGACAATAAATGCAAACCCAAGGAAGTGGTAAACTTCAACAATAAGAGCTGCAAAAGCAACAAGGAATCCTGTGGCACCTTATAGACTAACAGATTTATTGGAGCATAAGCTTACATGGGCAGAGACCCACTTCATCAGATGCATGTAGTGGAAATTTCTGAGGCAGCTATAAATATACAGGCATAAGAAAAGAGTACCAATCAAGAGTAAGGCTAAAGATAATGAGGTCAATTCAGTCAGGGAGGATGAGGCCCACTTCTAGCAGCTGATGTGGATGTGTGAAAACCAAGAGAGGAGAAACTGCTTTTGTAGTTGTCTAGCCATTCACAGTCTTTGTTTAATCCTAAAGTGATTGTGTCAAATTTGCAGATCAAGTGTAGCTCTGCAGTTTCTCTTTGAAGTCTGTTCTTGAAGTTTTTTTGTTGCAGGATGGCTACCTGTAAACCTGCTACTGTGTGTCCAGGAAGATTGAAGTGTTCTCCTACAGGTCTTTGCCCACGAAAGCTTATGCTCCAATAAATCTGTTAGTCTATAAGGTGCCACAGGACTCCTTGTCGCTTTTGCAGATTCAAACTAACATGGCTACCCCTGTAATAAGAGTTGCTTATCTTCACTGCTCCTGTGGTTTGAGCTATAGCACTAAAAATAGCATTGTAGAAGTTACAGCTCAGGCTGGAGCTCTGGCTCTCATGCCCATCCCCATCCCTAGCCCCAGCCTGAAGGCTTTAGCTGTTTTTTAGCTCTGTATTATGAGCCCAACTGGTCTGTGGATTCAGGCTCTGAGATTCACAGCTGCTGGTTTTAAAATGCATTTGGCCTGCTCACTCATGCTAGGAGTTAAATTGAGGGTAAATAACTCTGTAGCGAAGACATATCCTTTCCAGTTCCAAAACCTGTGTGAAGATATGTGCGCACTTATGGTGTGGAAAGAGCAGTGTAAGAACTTTCCCTATTCTTAGATCACATTATGTTGTGGAAGATAGAAAGGAAATTTTGTTTTGGTGGTTCCATTTGGATACGAACCCAAAAATGTAGCTGCGTGTCCCAACCTCTCAGAATGAGATCTTACACAAGCTTTCTCAGGAGATTTCAGGACTCTTTGTTTTTGTTGGGACAAGCAGTACTGTGAGGCCAGCTTTTTTCATGATGTTCTAACATTTCTGCTTCTGGTCCCCATTGAAGGAACAAAGAGACTACTGCCCAGCATAGCAGGGCTTAAAGAAAGCTTGTGAGTTAAGCTAGTCTACCCCATATCCCAACTGTGGGAAAACTAGACTAGCAGGGCTATGCCCCAAACTAGCTCCTGTAGCCTGACAGCTGGGAAGACTCAGGACCTGAGGGAAAAGGAGAGGTCAGGTTCCATTACAGCCCTGACCTGGGGATGGGCAATAATGACCTGTGGGTCAGATGCAGTTCATCTTAGTTAGTCACCGGCGGGTCGCCAGATGCTTTATTTGCCTGCACATCCACTGGTCCACGGCCACACACAGCTCCCATTGGCTGTGGCTTGCTATTCCTGGCCAATGGGAGCTGTTGGACGTAGTGACCCAGCCTGCGCCATTTCCCACAGCTCCCATTAGCTGGCAACAGCAAACAGGAGTTCCGAGCAGTCATACCTGTGATTGCGCAGGTAAAAAAAGTGTTGGGCGGCCTGCAAGGGGCTAACCCTGGTGAACTGCATCCAGGCCACTTATTGGCCACCGCTGCCTTAACCAATGATCTAGCCACAAGGTTGCCTGGCCACCGAAGGCCCAATCACAGTCCCAAGCAGAACCTGAAAGTAAAAAAGGACAAGTGAATAAAAATGAAATATAATGGAGGGCAAAATTAACCAGACTTCTTTTGATTTTGGTTCAATTCAACTTGAGGAGAAAAGATCAGGGAGAGTCTCTGTACTCTGATAATTTTCTCCCATCCCTATAAACTAGTGCTGTAGTTGTACAGTGTGGGAGAGAAAGGAATAGTGCAGTTTGCTCAGGATACAAAAGAGGGGAAGAGGCATGAGTACCATTAAAGGAAGAATGGAAAAATATCAAAAACTGCTGTTAGCTCCGTAAAAGGCAAAAAGGGCAGGCAGTATTAAGTCATGCCTAAAGAAATTCCACAGAAATAAATCTCACATTAGTGAGATTGCTAGCTGAGGGAAAGTTAATAGCACTCCAGTACTGAAAAAGCAAACAGATTTCCCTCCCCATCAATGAAGTGAAGTAAGTCAGAAACACCACATGTGGGGGCTGGACTTATACACATTCAACTGCTGGTAGAAACGCAAATGAGGTAGGGTAGGGAAAAAAAGATAATTTTAAAAGCCAGGTCTAGTCATGCTATAAGAGCATTAAATGGGATCTGATGAATATCCTACGTGAAATACTGCCTCTGTTGAAGGCAGTGTGAGTTTAGGAATTGCCTTCAGTGGGGCCAGGATTTCATCGACTGTATATTGTTAAATAAGTTGAAAGTAAAGTGTTGAATTTTTTTGTTAAGGTGGCAGCAAACACCACAAAGGGAAATACCTGATGCCAAACATAGGAAACTTCTATAAACAGAGATTCAGGCTGGTGTACTACTCCACATCTGACAAAGTGGTTTTGACCCACAAAAGCTTATGCCCAAATAAATCTGTTGGTCTTTAAAGTGCCACGGGACTCCTTGTTAATCTGATCTGTGTCTTGTAGAGCAGCACTTTTAAATCTCATTTCTTTGCAAATGGCGTGCCTGCATTATGCAATTTTTAAACATTTTTAAACTTAAGACTTGTGAAAGTAAATGACTAAGTAGCAAGATCTTCTGCAAACATGTTCTCTTTAGTCTTGTCTTAAAACCCCCATAAAGAGCAGAAATTTCCTATTGTGCTGAACTGAATCATTGTCTCAGTTCCTTTATCATGTATTCCTTGTACTTCACTCATTTGCTGTAGATTCTTTATGTTCTGTAAAAATTAATAAAACTTAACGTTTATTTCAAATTATATTTATACTTGAAGTATTGTATTAATTCATGGGCCAATCTTGTTTGCTTTTTATTTAGCTTCATCATACACAACAAAGACACTTTCTTCAACAATGCTACAAGAAGTAGAATAGTACATCATATTTTACAAAGAGTGAAATACGAAGAAGGGAAAAACAAAATTGGTAAGTGCTCAACAAGATGCTTTTTAATTTGGTGTAAATATCAATAAAGCCTGAGCATGCTCATAGGTCAGCTTTGGTTTTTTTTTTTAAATCTCTTCTCTTGGTACATAGCTCAGAAATGTCCATGGCAGTAACTTTTCCTTGGTATGCTCAGTCATTTTGAAGATGAGACAATAAAATGCCGGGCTGCTTTTCCATGAAAGACTGATACAAGGTAAACAAGAGACATGCAAGGCCCATTCCAAAATGAAAACTTGCCACTCTCCTTGGACCAAAGCATGGAGGAGCTAGGAGGGATGGGAAACTCATGCAGCCCCTAGTTTCAGACTCCAACAATCCTCCATGAATCCGTGTTCTGTTCCTTTGCACACTGAGGTCATGGAGGTTATTGCAGTTCCCCGCTTCCTTTCCATAGGGGGAGAGGGAGACAAGATTAGTGGAGAACTCAGTTTCCTCAGCATAAAATGGTGTCTTGACACAGGTATGGGTTTGCTTCCCACCCCCCTTCTTTGGCTGCCATGAGGAAGAATGTTCTTCATTCCTGTAGACCTTTGTGCTGCTCCTGGCACACGCCGTGTCCGAACTCTCAGCTGGGTGAGCCTTGCTGGGGTAGCAAAGCCCATTCAGTTTCCAAGCTGTCAACAAGCTAGGGAGGAACCTTTTTCTTCCTGTTCCCAGAATTAGGGAAGCACCACACATGCTCTGTCTCCCTGACACCATCCTCAGCACTGTGGTTGGAATCAGATCCCTCCTCCATTAGTAATGGGAAGAGTTGGGGGGCTGCAAATGCCACCTGCAGTCACTGCCTGGACCACTGTGTTCTCTTATTTACCTCAGGATCCCAGTTTCTAGCTCTCCATTCATGGCCCCACCACTGTAGTATCAGTATCTTCTGTGTAGGCATTGGAAGTGTGGGAACCTAGCCAGGCTAAACAGCTCTGATGAGCTTCACACAGTACAGGTAGTCCCCGGGTTACGTACAAGATAAGAACAAACCTACAGTCCCTAAGTTGAATCTGTATGTAAGTCGGAACTGGCATCAGCCGCTGCTGAAACTGATCAGTTTCAACAGCGGCTGAATCGGGACACCAGTTCCACTTACATACAGATTCAACTTAAGAATCCCAGGCGTCCCCAAGTCAGCTGCTGCTGAAACTGATCAGCAGCTGATTCCAGGAAGCCCAGGGCAGAGCAACTCTGCCTCAGGCTTCCTGTAGTCAACTGCTGGTCAGTTTCAGCAGCGGCTGACTTGGGGATGCCTGGGGCAGAGCAGCTGGGGTGCTGCCGGGTTGGTCCAGTAGCACCAAGGAGCGGTGCTGCAGGACCAACCGGCAGTGCCCCACCTGCTCTACTACAGGCCCCCGGCTTTGCTCCATGTCTCCCTGGTCTGCTGGGGGGGGACTAGCTGCGTCCCCCCCCCCCCCCCCCGCCCG